AATTCAAACAAAAAAAAAAAAAAAAAAAAAAAGAATTTAGAACTGCCCGGTCTCAACAACATCTTCAAATGTATCTACCTCTCAAACCCCTCATCAGCTGCTCAGACTGGGGGGTACGTGAGATTGAGCGGGATCACTTTAAGGTGTGTTCATTGACGCACCAAATCACCCGCTCCTGCTACGCCCCGGCCCTGCCATCACCGCAGCTGTGTGAAACCCCAGCAGGGAAGGGGAGCCCCAGTACCTGAACAGGGCCTTCTCTGCCCCCAGAATCTGCACGGTGGAGGCCGGATATTTGGCTAGGTTTGTCAGACTGCCGGCATGAGAGATTAGACGAGCACCAACCTATTAATAGGAAATAGATGTGAGAAAACATCTAAACTTGACACTTCTACAGAATTTAAGACAATTTAGAAAGGTTGCACTCACAAACAAACAATTACAAGCTCATAGAATTAATAAAAAAAATGTAACTTTAAAAATATTTACGCTCAAGTCTCAAAGAAATGTGAACTTTTTTTTTAAGAGTAAAAATTTACACAACATACTACAAAGAAACACTTAAATGTCAAAGAACCTTTAAAAAAAAAAAAAAAAAAAAAAAAAAAAAAAAGAATTACGCGCAGGTAAATCTCAAAGAAATTTCCAGGACATTTTTCTCAAACATTGTCACATTTTAACACCAACATTGAAAAAGCAATTAAGTACCCTTCCAATTTTTTATGTAATGTAATAAAATATGTAAATATTAAATAACTGTCAGCTAAAAATTTTTCGAAATTACAATAGCGAAGTTCAGTACAATGCTATTATATACGTACTGCATTTTATAACGTAAGAAGAAAAAAAAACTCCACAAATGACATCACAAAAATAAATATATTATACATACAAAAAAAAAAAAAAGGGGGATGACGAACACGTACCACTTCACCAATGAGAGCCGCGAGATTTGGCGCCACCTGGCCCATTTTAGACCGCAAATACTCTTGCAGTCCCTGTCTGTACGTTGTGAGAGACACTACACGGCAGGAGAAACTCTCAATGTTGATCAAGTCAATAGGAGAGATATCCATACCTTTAAAAAAAATTAATAAAAAAACTGATGTATAATCTTCTCCCATAAATCACAGGAGCACTTATACTGGTTGAGTTAAAGCGAGCGACTCAGTGAGGTACAGTTGTTCAGTTCAGTGAGATATGCTGTCATCACATGGAATCAGTGGATTGACAGATTATAAAAACATCATAACATCCCAGACAAACTCACACTAAGCTGGGGACATCAGTGATCTTGACTTACCCATAGAGCTGCGGGACGCATCGAGGATAGCCTGAGCTTTGCCACTGTCCATTGTGATCTCCTCTATAGCTTGCAGCATCTCCTCAGTCAGTTCCTTCCTGTTCCCGATCAACTTGGCCAGCTTACAGTACATACTGTTATCGTTCACTATCTTTATCAGTTCTGGGAAGTGGTAGCCGTACCATTCACTGCACCGATAAAGAGAGAGAGTTCTGATAAGGCTGCATATTTTTGGAAAGACTGCACAAATTGTTTGATTACACCTTAATGTAACTACATAATACGATTACTTTTTAAAAAAATCATTCAGTTTATTAGTTATTTTACTGTTTAGACCCAAGAAAAAAAAATGTAAGTACAAGTTATTAGTATAGTACTTAGTATGGCTGTCTTAATTTCCAAAAGTTAAACCTTCAAGCTATTACTTTCATCCCCAAGTTATGCTTACTAGGCACAAAACAACTTTGGCTTCCCACTCAAGGTCTGTCTCCCCCCTCAGGTTGTGTTCACTCCAGTCTGATGGACCAAACACTCCTGAGAAAGGACTTTACTGTCCCTCCACTTCCTGTACAGCCAGTGCACTAGGGGGCGCTGTCTGTGGTAAGCATTAGGAGGATGCTGTATTAGATCCAACTACAAACCCCAGTGGAAGAACATCTTACCGCACACGCATGGAGAATGTGTTGATGTCTTTGTCCAGCTGATCGAGGAGGGCGATGGACTGGATGATCATGTTGTCTGCCCTGTTGACATTGAACTTGACTTTGGCTCTGGAGTAGCTGTGACCCAAACCCAGCTGAGCTTTGGACGCAGCCTGAGCGGTGAGTCCCTTGACCAGGGAATGGAAGTGCAGACGCACACCTGTCAATCACAAGCAGATGCGTGAGAAACAGTCACTTCTGGACTCATAAAACCACACTTTTTTTGGCCTGTCTGTTCAGATTTTCAGTATAAAGCATCAGAAATCAGGTGTTATAGGTACATCATTACAGCAGGCTTTTGATAACATTTAGAAATATGAATTTTTACATTAATCACTTAAATCAGGGGATTTCAAAACTTTTCCAAAAGGGTGTACAGGGAAATATTGAGAATAAAAGAAAAACGTTATTAAATATTTTCCAAATAATAGTTTACACATTTATAATACAAATGTTCTACAGTAAAACCTGGGTCTTTCATACATTAAAATATTTAACTGCCTTTATATGAGGATTATATTTGGGGTCCGTGGCATCTAAAATATTGAAAACCCCTGATTTAAATAATCATGCTCTCTGCTCACCTCTTATGATTTCAGCTACAACGCCTCCAGTCTGAATGGACAGATTGAGCTCTTCTTGAAGCGCCGCCCCAAGTTTAGCATCCGAAACCCCCAACATTGCCTTCTTTTTACCTCCGGACGGAAGGTTGGTCTCCAAGAACAACTTGAGATCCGCATGGACAACTCCTGTCAGGATCAGATTAGAAACGAGGTGTCGGTAATTGTAGGTTAAAGTTTGTAAGTCAACATGTCAAGCCTCAGATGATCAGTTTGTAGGCATGCTGTCATCACATTGACTCAGTGGATTGACAGATTATAGGTACATCATTGCATCCAGGAAACAGTTTAAAACAAGACCTTCGTCTCTCTTACCTTCTGAGACGGCATTGATGTTTTCCAGTGCACCCTGGGCGGATTTAAAGGGGAAGAATGCACTCAGTTTGATCACGCTACTGAATTTGCCAAGGTTTAGGACACTTTGCTCCACCTATGAAAGACAAAAGAATTAGTCATTTAGAAGACATTTAAGATTTGAATTCAAATGTATTTAATGTTACACAATGAACGTAGTGATAGGTCTTCTATATTGTGACTTTCATTGGAATGTAATGCATTGCACACTGATGAAACGCTGACAATTTAAAACATGCATTTAATTTTTTAATGTCGATTTTAAGTATTTACATATATATATATATATACTTAAATTTAAGTATTTAAGTATATACAGATCCAATAATTAGTGCAATCTAGGCATAGCACATAGGTCATGCAGATTATTTTTAAATGGTACATTTATGGGTGGGATTTGAACAAACAACCTTCTGACTACCAGTCCAGATCTTCACCACGTTGTTTACATTTAGTCATTTTGCAGACGCTTTTATCCAAAGCGACTTACAATTGGGGATACATAAAGCGATTCTTCTTAAAGAGGCAAACGGATACAGGAAGTGCCAAATAAGTTCAATTGTTCAAATAAGTACAAGCTACAAAGAGAAGGAATAAATAGAGTTTTTTTAAATTTTTTTTTTATGATGAAGTCAAGTAGCTTCGAAAGAGATAAGTTTTCAGCTGTCGCTTGAAAATTGTCAGGGATTCAGCATTCCGGATAGGGGTGGGAAGATCGTTCCACCAGCCAGGAGTGGTGAACGTGGCTGTTCTATATGCAAGCATCAATGTCTTGAACTTGATTCGAGCCACAACCGGTAGCCAGTGCAAGGAGATAAAGAGGTGTAACATGGCATGCACATTTACTTTCCTTTGCACTTCTTCAATATACAAACCTGAGGTAGAAGCATCCCAATGTCCTCCACTTCTTTAACAGCGAATAACGCATATCCAGCTGCATGCTCGAACAACACGTGTAAAAGCACCTGAGAGAGAGAAGGCCAGGTTACTGATCTGCCCTAATAATACCATAAATCACTACTTAAACCAAAAAGGGACAAAGTCCCAAATGCGTCACTCCTACATTAATAACCAAACAAATAATACATTACAAAGGAATACTGTGAATCTGATCTGATGGGGTCGCAGGTAAACATCAACACGTGCATGTAGCCCACATGGCGTTGGCGCCACCAGGTATCGTTTACAAAGCAACTACTCAATTTTACGTATTTAATATGATTATACAACATTGCGTAAGCAGAAGATAACAACAGTCGTTAATAAACTACCCCTGTTTAGATTTTATTGCATTAGAGCTTGAAGCTGGAGAGATTCACATTAGCACATACATTACAAAGGAATACTGTGAATCTGATCTGATGGGGTCGCAGGTAAACATCAACACGTGCATGTAGCCCACATGGCGTTGGCGCCACCAGGTATCGTTTACAAAGCAACTACTCAATTTTACGTATTTAATATGATTATACAACATTGCGTAAGCAGAAGATAACAACAGTCGTTAATAAACTACCCGTTTAGATTTTATTGCATTAGAGCTTGAAGCTGGAGAGATTCACATTAGCACGGGTTAGCACAGACACACCACGTGTTCCTCCAGCGGATCAAATACTCAGCGAGTGCCACTTTTAAAACTGATCAACATCTCATAGCACTGCGATCTGTACCAGGACATCGATCCTAAACACCAACGAGAGGTGAGTGAAACTTCAGGAGTCCGTTACATTGAATTTAATGGCTGCTGTGGCCTTTAATATCACATTGAGGCCTTGTGTATCCGGTTTCACATTTTATCCTCTCAAACTGACTGCAGTGATTGATTAAATGCAGCTTGTATTGTGCGATCGTATCATACTTGTGCTTAACAGACTAATCAAAACAATGGCAATAACAATAAAACTCAAAGATCTTAAACGTAAAACTATACTACAAACATGCACACTGCCCATTATAAAAGTCCGATTTAAATACAATGCAATCGTGACATTCAAACCATACTGCAAACACCGATCTGTTCATTTCTAAAGATTGTATAAAGAAACAATGGATTTTGGATGTTTTTTTTTACCATGTTTACCGATCTCGTGCGCCACGCACGAGGGAGCGTTCCGTTCCTTCGGCTCACTTGATGAGGAAAGAAATCCGCATGCGCTCATGTACGAAAACCCACATGATTTAGTCCCGCACGCTATCGCGAGACTTCACAAGTTACTTATTTTGCGGGAATGTGTTCGCCACTTGTTGGAAATGCTTGGAAATGCAAAATGCGTGGCACAGTGGACATTGTGTGCAGAAAAAAATGCATTACAGAGTAGAGCAGGACATATTATTAATAACAGTAAAACAAAATATTTGGCATAAATAATGCACATATTTATAATTGACAAAAAGTACCACCTGCACTGTATAGTGTAAATCAAGGATAATTCATATTTTAAGCCACAGGTCATCTTTAAAAAAAAAATAATAAGCTGGTGACTGTTCCAGGATTTGTGTGGTTGGTTTTAGGCAAATTTCTTTGGATTCAGTTTATTCGAGAATGTTAAAGAATCATAACTGCTGTGAAGTTTTGATGCAAAAAAGGGTCACAATAAAATAAAACAAAATACAAAAATTTGGCTCATTAAAAAATAATTGTAATTGACAAAAAGTACCAACATTAAATGTGGTCTAAATGTAATTTGTGTATATGTGTGTATATACACATGTATATGGTGTATGGGTATATATGTATGGGGTATATATGTAATTTGTATAGTACTTAAAGCCACAGGTAATGGTTTTGAGAAAATGAGTGGTTGTCCCAAGATTTGGGGTGTTTTAGGCAAGTCTAGTTAAAAAAATAAAATAAAATACAAATTAATTATTAACAAAATAAATTAAAATGAAAAGAATTGAATATCAGTTCAATAGATTGTCAAAACTTTGTCATTGTTCTATTTTAATTATTTTATACATTTGAGATAGTTCCAAAGTCCAAAATCCGGATTTTCAGTGTTGGGATAGACAGTGAATTTAAATAAAGACCGTTTTCATGCTATGTTAATTTTATGTTCGATTAAGCATATTTTATATGTCTCAAAAGCTATATATATGCCTTTTCGTAATCTGATTAAGCCCTATTCTTCATGCTGCAAGCATTTGCCCTTAAATGTGACTGTGAGTGTTTAGGAGGGACAAATTGCCAAAATATATTTGATGCAGGAAACATTTCAAGAGTTATGACAGGAAACAGTTCTGGTTGCACATTCATCCATCCACTAATTATCAGACAAATGTGCCATAATGTACCACCCACGGCAATAAATACCAGTGTTGAATTTATTTTAAAAAGAGAGATTTGAATTTATGACTATATATATCCACATCATTGGGGAATGCAGAGTACTCGGAAACAACAAAACACACACATAGGAATAAAAGCTATAATTATGCTCTTAATGTTTTAAAATGATGTATATTTTGGAATACTAAAAACTCTTAATAGTTACAAATATTGTGCACTTACATACAAAAGCATAACTGTACCATAACAAACACCAAGTCTAAAGTGACTACAACCAAGTTATGTCAAGTCCTTGTAGTGTCTCTTGTCTCCATGGTCAAGGTGGAGGAGTTTATGGAAACATACGTCAGAGATAATACGAGGGTTCCTATAAAGCGGACTGCTCTCTGACCACTGACAGAAACATAAACACCTGTCACAGAGGCCACCCGCATGCTGTACAAAGGTACAACTCTCATTCGTCCAGATTTTATCATGAAAAAAGATCCTGTCTCTCATTCTCTCTGCTGTGCGTCACAACTGGAACTCATTTATCAGTGAAGCATGACCATTACACTATGTAATCGGCCATGTTGTGTTTAATACTTGCTGATTTGTGTTTTTATGTCACCCAAAGATGCGCAGAGCAGTTACAGGATGTCTGATGCTGGTGTATGTTGTTGCTCTTCTGGCCGAGCAGGCAGAGGGACACATCGCCTTCTTCAGCCCTAAAGAGATGAGAGAGCTCAGGGTGAGGAGGCATTCGGCATCCTTATGACTATTTATTTAGCCTCCAATTGAACCAAGAACAAAGTTATTGGGATTCTTTCTTCATCTTCAACAGGAGAAGGAGGAAAGGAAGGATGCTGATCCAAGAGCGGAGGGGGTTTTGATTGACAAGATGTCTCCAGATGAAGATGGAAGAGAGTCAGCGGTGAGGAATCCCTGCATGTTTTTAAAGTATTTCATAATGTACTTGAGTTTCTGACTGGTTTGTATCCATCTGAAGGGCCAGCCTGTGGAAATAGGGCTGAAGCTGACTGCTAAAAAGGGCCAGATCGGATCTGCTTTCGGTAAGATGCTGCAGAGCATCGTAGAAGAGCCAGAGACCGGTAAGGAGCATACAGTAAAACCTCTTTCTGTTTTTCATATATACACAGACCACGCTAATATTTGTGCTCTGTTTTGACAGTGAAATAAGACCGGCATTTTTATCTGCATTCATTGACTATTGCAGACTGATGATTCAACATTTGTTGCAAGCACACATGTTTTGTCTATGAATGTAATAAAATTAAAATAAAATGAAATTGCATGCAAATTCAGTTTCTTGTCATATATATATATTGTAACTCTGGTTTAATCTGAATTTAAACTGTTAAGCAACATGCTAAATGAATTTGTATACTCTTAATTTGCCTCTAAATTTAAATACTTTGTTTCCTGTAATACTAGATTAATAAATATTGTCATTTAATATACCAAATGGTTATTGTAAAATCATGCTTTAAATTTTACTCCAAAACCTTGCAATGTGCACTACAGAAGACTCTTATGCTCACCAAGGCTGCATTTATTTGATCCAAAATGCAGTAAAATGTGACCCTGGAGCACAAATCCAGTCTTAAGTCGCTGGGGTATATTTGTAGCAATAGCCAAAAACAACATTGTATGGGTCAAAATTATCGATTTTTCCTTTATGCCAAAAATCATTAGGATATTAAGTAAAGATCATGTTCCATGAAGATATTTGGTAAATTTCCTACTGTAAATATATCAAAACTTAATTTTTGATTAGTAATATGCATTGCTAAGAACTTCATTTGTACAACTTTAAAGGCAATTTTCTCAGTATTTTGATTTTTTTGCACCCTCAGATTCCAGATTTTCAAATAGTTGTATCTCAGCCAAATATTGCCCTATCATAACAAACCATACATCACTGGAAAGCTTATTTATTCAGCTTTCATGTGATGTATAAATCTCAATTTCAAACAATTTACCCTTATGACTGGTTTTGTGGTCCAGGGTCACAAATCAGTAATATTGTGAAATATTAATACAATTTAAAATATTTTTTTTTCAAATAATAAAAAAAATTATTTGAATGTATTTTAAAATGTCATTTCTTCCTGTAATGGCAAATCTGAATTTTCAGCAGTAATTACTCTAGTCTTAGTCGCTAGTTATGTTTGTGGAAACTTTGATGTATATGTCTATCAGCTTAATGCATACGTGCTGAATAAAATAATTTCTTTAAGAAATCATACTGACTCCAGACTTTTGAACAATACTGTATAGGATGACATAGAGCATATGTACAGTATATGTGTGAGTTAAATGTTCACGGTGGTTTCAATATGTCCTATATTTAGTGTCAGATTGTGTGGAAGTCAGCATGTTGGTTGGAAACTATACAGGATGCACGCCTACATTTGGACATACTTTTACAATTATGGAAGCTTTAGCTGGTATTTTATTGCAAAACTCTTATGCAATAGAGAACATCTGTTAAAACCTTTAGATGTGTCTACAGTGGAAAAGCAGGAATTCACATTACATTTTAAGAGTTTATCTTCAACAGCCTTTATTCTTTGTCTTATTGGATAAGTTTGAGATAATTAACTAGCACATTGCAGAAGGTAACATCAAAAGTATCACAACTGAAAGAACAGCTCCCTGTAAAAGCTCTTGAGAGACAACTAATGACAGAATGAGTCTTTATATGTTCTTCATTCAAAGATGTTTTGAACAATATTTTTGCTCTATCAAAAAGATTAACATTACAACAATCTGTAACATCCGTGTCTGACTCCGAGTGAGCATATGGAACAATTAGTATTGGGCAAAAGTTAAATTTCAGCCGGTTTCTCACATAAAGCTTCAAAAGACTTGGAATGTAGCACACGGGTCGTATGGACAGCTTATGTGGCAAATTTGGTCTGTTTTAAGATCCGCAAAGAAATAAACATAAGAAATAATCCACACAGGTTTGGATGAGGGTTAATAAATCATGATAGAATTTTTGAACTGTCTCTTTAAGGTTTAGCAGTCAGTCTCTCACAAAACTCATATTCCTTCACTCCAAGAGCAGGATCTCTGGCAGGAGGAGCTGGCAAGACCAGGGAACAGTCACTGTTGAAATATTTTCCACTTATTCCTTCTGCTTCCTCGGACACTGCACAGTATATTGGACTGAAAGACCCTTCTTCAGCAGTCTGTGGTGGAAAAAATGCATAAACACACATAAAGCCAAACTATTCTGCTGAATATTTCTTACAGGCCTATATTGTATACTCTTGTGGGTCCTTTCTAGTGTTTAAATGAAACTTAAGAAACCTAGTTTGGTTGCCAGATTAGATTTTAATTTCACTCCTTCCAGGAAATCTGGCCATTTCTGCTTCTCAGTGAAGCATCACTATTGTTACTCTCATTCTCTCTAGTTTATCTTCCTTTCTTCAATGGTATTATGCCTTTAAGGCAAATAAACATCTGTGATGCATAAAGATGTAGACTAGCTCCCTTGCACAGCTGAACTTCAGAGGTTTTGGAGTGTTTGTGACCTTGTTCCAGAATGGCAGTCAAAACGAAAAGCACTAACACATTTTATCCAGCTACTATGGAAACTAGTGCACTAGTGCAGCCAGAGGAGTTGGCAGGAAGCAGTTGCTGATGTGAAATGTTGAATGTTGTTTACAGTGATTGGATTGATAGTGGGCTCACTTTGAAGAAGAAAAAGCCGACCAAGTTGAAGAGGAATCGGATAATGAAGTTGTAGTTTCTCATTACGTCTGTCATAACTACACCCGGATGCAGAGAGTTTGCTGTCACGCCTGAAACACACACAAACCATGATCTGAATGGAAAAAATGAAGCACTTTCTCATCTTTCCAACAT